AATGTCAACAAATATGTGCCTATCAATTATCACTTTAGGCTTGGCTGGTGTGGGCTCAGTGGTTGAGCGTTGACCTATGAACCAGGAGGTCATGATTTGATTTCCTGTCAGGGCTTATGCCTGGGTTGTGGGCTTGATCCCCAGTGGGGCATACAGGAGGCAGCTGGTCAATAATTCTCTCTTATCATTACTGTTTCTATCTCTCTCTCCCTCTCCCTTCCTCTCTGAAATCAATAAAAAAATAAATAAAATAAAATAATCACTTAATCCCCAGCTGGGTGGTTCAGTTAGTTGGAGTGTTGCCCTGTATACCAAAAAGGTTGTGGGTTCAATTCTGGGTCAGGGCACATACCTAGGTTGTAGGTTCCATACTGGGTCAGGATATATATAGGAGGCAATTGGTGCATGTATAGAAGGCAACCAATTGATGCTTCTCTCTTACATGGATGTTTCTCTCTTTCTCTATTCTCTCTCTAAAAATCAATAAAAAATTTTTTAAAAACTCTCTTTAAAAAGATTCTCTTTAAAAAATAAGCAAACCTCTTTTCAGAGTATCCTGATCCTTTTAGAGGGTGCTTCCTTATTTTGCAGAACAATGGCTTTTCTTTTCTTTTTCTTTTTTAAAAATGTTTTTTATTAGTTTCAGAGAGGAAGGGAGAGGGAGAGAAACATCAATGGTGGGACAGAACCATTGATTACCTGACTCCTGCACACCCCCTACTGGGGATGGAGCCCACAACCTGGGCATGTGCCCTGACCGGGAATCAAACCATGGCCTCCTGGTTCATAGATTGATGCTCAACCTCTGAGCCACACTAGCCAGGCAACAATGGCTTTTCAGTTACTTAAGCCATCTTGTTTAAGGAACCTGAAGCAGTTGCTAGTAGTGCCCTATATAAATCTCTTTGGCTATGACTACCATTTCAGTGCACACCAATTTGCACCTGTTTACAGAGGGCTTTCTGTGGCCACCAGTGTCTGATCTTCCTATATGCATGTGCTGGGCATTGACTCTCCTTGTCTTTATGGGAACAGCCTTTCATGAATGATTGACAGGAGCTGGCTGTCAATGACTGATGAGAGTACTCTAGCTTCCTTGCACCCCAGGTGGGAAAATTGAGGTTCATATTCTTCACTTGCTCTTAGAACTCCATGGCAGAATTGTTCTCAATAGTCTAAAGTCGTGGTCGGCAAGCTGCGGCTCTTGAGCCACATGCGGCTCTTTGGCCCCTTGAGGGTGGCTCTTCCACAATATACCACAAAATACCACGTGCGGACGCGCATGTAGAGTGCGATTGAAACTTTGTGGCCCATGCGCAGAAGTCGGTATTTTGTGGAAGAGCCACACTCAAGGGGCCAAAGAGCCGCATGTGGCTTTCGAGCCGCATGTGGCTTGCGAGCCGCAGTTTGCTGAGCCACAGTTTGCCGACCACTGGTAAAGTATTGACTTGCTCAATGATGAGCACTTTTATTGGCTTCTTTCAATTCTATTTCAGTTCTCTACTAGTCTAATAGTGTTTCCTATGGTTACCTCCCAAATAAATTGCCTGCAGTCAAATACTAACTGTCTGAATCAACTTCCGGGAAACTCAAACTATAAGAAGCTCTTAGAACAACCTCAGTGGAATTTTATCACATCCCACTTGGGGAAGTTGGTTCCCTTCTTTGGGCTTATACTGTAGCAATACATTAAAACTAAGACTAAAAATTGTCCAAACAGCCCTATCCAGTTTGGCTCAGTGTATAGAGCAGTGATGGCGAACCTTTTGAGCTCGGCGTGTCAGCATTTTGAAAAACCCTAACTTAACTCTGGTGCCGTGTCACATATAGAAATTTTTTGATATTTGCAACCATAGTAAAACAAAGACTTATATTTTTGATATTTATTTTATATATTTAAATGCCATTTAACAAAGAAAAATCAACCAAAAAAATGAGTTTGCGTGTCACCTCTGACACGCGTGTCATAGGTTCGCCATCACTGGTATAGAGTGTTAGCCCATGTACTGAAGGGTCCTGGGTTCGATTCTAGACAAGGGTGCGTACCTGGTAGGGGCGCATGTGGGAGGCAACCAATCGATGATGTGTCTCTCTCACATCAATGTTTCGCTTTCTCTCTGTATCTCCCCGTCCCTTCCACTCTCGCTAAAAAAATCAATGGAAAAGTATCTTTGGGTGAGGATTAACAACAACAACAAAATTACTCAAACATTCTATAATAAGCTTTCTCATGAATTTTTAAATATTTCTCTCTACATAACTTTGGCATTCAATAGTAATAGAATTGTTCACTCCACACTGCTTTTTTACTTCTTTGGGAATTGTTAAAAATATATGTAAGGAGTCCGGCCAGTGTGGCTCAGGGGTTGAACTGTTGACTCAGGAACCCGGAAGTCAAAGTTCGATTCCCAGTCAGGGCACATGCCCAGGCTGTGGGCTCGATCCCCAGTAAAGGGCGTGTAGGAGATAGCCCATCAATGATTCTCAATCGAACCTGGGGCCCTTGAGTCTGCAGGCCGACGCTCTACCCACTGAGCCAAACCAGTCAGGGCGCATATTTTTAAAAAATACATGTAAGGAAATAAAATATGTACCAAGTAACATGTTGCTAGACTGAATCTTAAATAATTTGGCTTGCAAAATTTGAATTACAGGCTTTAGTTCATTTACCAAAAACAGAAATAAGTACCACTATCTCCTTTAATTTATAAGTGTGTTTTACAAACCATTTACTTCTTTAATTTAAAACAATATTCAGAATGGTATGGGATTTTGTGTACTACATTTCCAAATCATAGTGTATATGATTATAGGACTTTTTGCAGTCTATAGTGAGAGCCCCAATTCAATTTCATTATCTTAAGTAACAATCTATAAAGAAAGGGAGAAATAAAAAATTTAAAAATCATACTGAAAACATCATCAAAATACAACAAGGTGGCATGTTTTCTAGCAGATCTTGACACACACACACACACACACACACAGAAAAAAAAAGTTAATTTAAATCCACTTTTATTTTTTCATAGATTTTAACAATTATGCACAACTTTTCACATAAAGAGAGTGAAATCTCAAGGATGAGGAGGCAATATATATATGTATGGTCTCTTCTAATCATTCTTTAGGATGGAAGGAAATTTCTAAAGGGCACAATGTGTGAGATTTAACACTGGAAAAATACATAAGAAACTTGTTTAACTGGCTCCACTTAGGACCAGGCACAGCACAATAAATACAGAACTGCATCATTTTTAAAAGACTGTTGCAATTTTAACACATTCGTACTAAAGAAATATGATCAGTGACCAATCTGAATTCTACAACATATAGGTGAAGGGACACTTAAAATGAATATCTGAGCATAGTTTCTCTAGCATTTTCACACCCAAACATCAGCATACTTAAAAAGTAGTAAAGAATGTATACTGCAAATTCAGAACTACAAAAACAAAACAAAACAAAACAAAAAACCCGAAAAACTTGGTCAAACTTTCTTCATCCTATTATTCATTCCCATCACAATTCTAGTTTGCTGGTAAATTTAAGGTAGAAAAGAAAGTTTTTGAAATTATTTTAATTTCCACTGGTCGTAGGGCTTCTGGGTAGGAGGCCACATTGGAAGCCAACTGATTAAGCAGCACCATTAAGTCCTCACCTCAACAAACCATTGCAAAATTTTTATCTTCCAGTATTCTGAAAGGTTATAAAAAGTTGTATGGAAGAATACCTGTCCTGAACTGTAAAAACATGCAATTTTCAAGGATTTAAACAAACTAGAGCTGAATTCTCTACTGCCTGCATCTTTCCTTATCAGACCAAAAGAACTGTATTACCTAAAAATTTAAATAATAACATATTAAGGCATAAAATAAATAGTTTATTTATGCTATTACATTGGGGTATTTGAGATTGTTAGACACGTTCACATGCCCTTTCCTCTCAGAAAGAGGAAGGAATGGTGCCAGCACTGTTGGTCAGAAAGAGTTAATGGGAAACTGTTGCTCTCGGTTGTTCTGTGATGAGCCTTATTGTACAAATACTTAAAAGACAGACAGAAATGATCTTTTTTCACTTGACTCAGACTCTGCTATCAGCAGATACGAGAATCAATTTCATCCCTATTAAACCAAATGGAAACTGTTATGCTGCTATGGCTACAGATATTCTGAGGACTCTTGTGAGCAAATGAATCAAAACCCACATGAAAGAAAGTATTATTTTCTATAATTAGTAAACTGGTTGTTCAAAAATTCAATAAGGGAACAAACATGTGAACATATGACACACGCTATTATCTTGAAAAAACATAATGCCACTCTGGTCCCAAGGATCACGATAGCCCAGCCGGTCCTTAAATGTGCAAACAGCCTTTAACTACTCCTAAATATCTTCTTTGTGACATTTTAGTGTCCATCACACTGCCACATGATTCTTAGGAGCTCAGGCTTCTAAGATGTTTGAGGAAAAGAAAAAGGGTATAATGGGGATCAAGTTCTTGGTGATTGTTCTAAATGTAATTTTAAAAAGACTTTCCTAATAATGCAGAATAGTCCTTGATACTGAATTTTTCCTAGTGAGACAAAATAAGCTTTAACAAGATGATGTTAATCTAAATTTGACCATCTGGCTCCTTTTTCACTTTTTTAGAGGGTACTGATCCATATATTATGCTGAGCCCCCAAAATGCCTGTTTTAAAAACAACATAGTTCCTAACAGTTCCCCATAAATATTCCTGATTTATGCTGGGGAAGCAATGCAAAACTGAAACATTAATCATTTATGTTATTAAAAAAGCAAATATTTCCTGCAAAGCAGTTACTTAGCAAAATGCTAAGCTGCAAATAAACTTGCCATGTAGACAGATATCAAATCATTTCACAAAGTACCTGTCACAATGTAAAGAAAACTGACCTTTCATCCCCAATTCACTGCAAAGACAGTACATGCAGTAGTCTTGTTTAAATTTAGTGGCGATGAGGAAAGGGCAAACCTAGGACAAGGAGGGACGTCAGCCTACATACAAATTTACAGTAGTGTAGCCATTGTATATCATATTTTCTACATTCACCACTTTGGAGAAAGGAACACTGGAACAAAGGAATGTTTTGTATAAGACCTACAAAATAAACAGGGAAACAAATGATAAGAGGCATAAAGCTGCACTAGTCTCAAAGCTGCACAGTAAAGCAGCGAAAGGTTTGAGATGGGAAATTTAGGAAAATATACACATATGAGAGCTTGCTGAGGAAAAGGAAGGAAGAAATCACAGTTCTAATCTTCAAGGCTACGAAATGCATTCTGCATGTCTTCAAGAAGCTGTGCATAGTCGGCCTTGATCTTTGCCTCACCATCTTTCACTGGATCCTGAAAAAAGACATGACAGAATTCAATTTACATTTGGGAAATAACTTTCAGAACATGTAGTAAGTTGCTTATATTTAATATATTTTGAGTACTAGGTTAATTGAGGTACACTGGTAAACAACAGGCAGGAGTGAAAATTATCCTTATTTCCCTTTTTTTCTTTTAAGGGTAGAAATGTGTAAATGGTGTAATACCCCAACCAAACAGAAATAAAATTTCAATATTGTATTTTGCCTACTAACTGTACTCAATGACCAATAATTTATCCTCAACAACATGCAAAATATTGGAAAATTATGCAGCATCACATATTAAATGCATTTCACTGCATATATAATAGTTGGAATTAATTTAGTCAAACTAGACATTTACTATTCAATGTCTGATAGAATTACATTGAGACACGAAAGTAAGATTTCTAAAATAATCTTAAAATGCACCACAGTTAAAATCCTTATGGAAAGCAACTTAATTGAGTAACATGTATAAAACACTTTAAAATGCTTAAGCTCTCTGACACAATCATTCCACTTCAATCATTCCACTTCTGGGAATCTATACTAGGAAAATTCACAAAGCTAACTGCATGAACAAAGTTGCTATACCAACAACTGGAAATTTCCTAAGTGCTTAAAAATAGGAGAATATTACTCTCCAGCAACAAAATAATGCTACAGAAGAAATGTAATGACATTAAAAAGCAATTGTGATGTTGCCCTGGACAGTGTGGTTCAGTTGGTTGAGCATCATCCCATATACCGAAAGGTCATCGGTTCAATTTCCGATCAGGGCACATGCCCAGGTTGCGGGTTTGGTCCTGGTATGGGTGTGTATAAGAGGCAACCGATCAATGTTTCTCTCCCTCTCCCTCCTCTCTCTCTGAAAATCAATAAAAAAATATTTAAAAAAAGCAACTGTGATATTAATTTGATACAATGTGCATGTAAATAAAAAAAAGATATTACCTTTAATCACACTACCAGAAATCATCACTATTATTATTACATCCATATTTTTTATCTTGTTTCTATAAATATTTAATTTTTGAAAATAAAATTTGAATCAAATTATATATAGAATTTCTTTGCAACTGATTTCCTCCTTCATTACACCATAAGCATTTCCCCATGTCTTTGAATATTCTTTCAAAAGAAACATGTAATGACTTGATAATATTCTTATCATAATGCACATGCCACATTGTACTTATCCACTCTTGGATGACATTTAAGAAGTTTAATAAACAACCTTGGACATAAATCCATATGAAAATCTGATTATTTCCTTGGGTTATATGCTTTGAAGTAGAATGACAGGACTCAAGGGTATGAATATTTTAAAATTCTTGATTCAGTGAGTGTCTACTGTACAGGTTTACTTTCAACCTTTGTGCAAACAACACCACACACACACACACACACACACACATTGAGAGAATCATTCTCAATTTCTCAGTAGGTGATTAAATATACTTGGATATTATAACTCAGAAATAGCCGAACCGATATACTTGGATATTATAACTCAGAAATAGCCGAACCGGTTTGGCTCAGTGGATAGAGCATTGGACTGAGGACTGAAGGGTCCCAGGTTCGATTCCGGTCAAGGGCATGTACCTTGGTTGCAGGCGCATCCCCAGTGGGGGGCGTGCAGGAGGCAGCTGATGGATCTTTCTCTCTCATCAGTGTTTCTAACTCTCTATCCCTCTCCCTTCCTCTCTGTGAAAAACCAATAAAATATATTTAAATAAATAAATAAATAAATAAATAAATATAATCCAATTAATAAAATATTTAAAAACAATCCTATACATTTGAGGTTCCACTGATAATTTCATTTAATTATCTAATTATATCTGTGTACTTCCAAAAGAATTACAGTCCACTTAAAAGTTAAAAATATTATGTAATAGGATACTTAAAAGAAGTAAACAACAGAAGTCATTTTGGATGTGCATAGGATTGGATGTGAATAGGCAGATGAGGTAAGGTAATTGCTGCTCAGCAATGACTTTAGCACTAAATTGCCTGGCAGTTAAAACAAATAGAGCCCTCTCTGGTTTGGCTCAGTAGATAGAGCATTGGACTGTGGACTGAGGGGTCCCAGGTTCAATTCTGGTCAAGGGCACATGCCTGGGTTGCGGGCTCGATTCCCCCTGTAGGGGGAATGCAGGAGGCAATCAATTATTCTCTCTCATCATTGATGTTTCTATCTCTCTCTACCTCTCCCTTCCTCTCTGATATCAATAAACATATATTTTTATTTTAAAAAAAGAGATGTATCAGCATTTATTTTAGACATGACATACTATAATTTTTAGCACCAGCATTCCTATTTGAACATAACTTTGAGATCTGCCCTGGTTTTACATAACCTGAGCATGCGTGGAAATGATAAATGTAAGTTTTATACACCAGGTTCAGGACTCAAGTAGTTAAAAAAAATAAAAAGAAACATTTCCTACTAAAAAAAAGTTACAGCAGAAACTAAACATACCTTAAATTTCATGGAGGAAAGTTTATAGAGGATCTCCCCCATGTGCTCACGGATAATGGACCATGTGATTTTATTGTCACTCTGGGCAGTGGTTTCAACAGCTCTACGGGCCATATCATAAAATGCGATCATGTTGGACAGCATCCCAACTGTCTTGTAGAATGGGCAGAACCTAGGGTAAAAACAGCCAAAATAATTAACAAAACAAAATCCAAAGCAGGTTCATTCTTTATGTAAAACTTTATAAAATATGAGAGCATTAGCTTCTTTACTTAAATATGCAGATTACTTAAAATTATTAGATGATATATAATGAATGAAAAAATAGTGGAAAAGACCGGTTTTTGGACAAAGATGTCTCAGAATAGGGAATGGATAGTAAATGGAGAAATATATTTTTTAATGTAAAAAGTGATGTTTATATTTTAATAACAATAATAGTACTACTATAATCTAATCTCTTTGAGGATTTGTTTTTGTACAATGCCGTTAAAGGAATGCCCTAAGTCAGTGATGGCGAACCTTTTGCGCTCGGCGTGTCAGCATTTTGAAAAACCCTAACTTAACTCTGGTGCCGTGTCACATATAGAAATTTTTTGATATTTGCAACCATAGTAAAACAAAGACTTATATTTTTGATATTTATTTTATATATTTAAATGCCATTTAACAAAGAAAAATCAACCAAAAAAATGAGTTCACGTGTCACCTCTGACACGCGTGTCATAGGTTCGCCATCACTGCCCTAAGTCGTAAAATAACTGAGTTGTAAAGATTCCCTTGTGATAGCAGGTTAAGGTATAATGAATAAGAAACAGGAAATGGCAATTTCCTAAAGTTAATAGTAAGCCCTCTTCCACATTAAGGAGTTCATTTTCATTTAACCATATCTTTTAATAATGAAGACATGCAAGCAAATATTCAACTGTATTCACACACTTTTATCGACTTTCTGACATATTTAAACACATTTGCATACATAATTTCATGAATACTCTCTATCACACTCCTTCCAAAGAGTTGTTCCCTTACTGAGTTATGTTTGTGTAGGTAGTTGCTAGAGCTTCTTAAGTTTCTGTGATAGATTTTTGAGTCTTACTGATTATATTGTCATATTTTCTGCTTGTTCTACATTTTGGAAATCCTATTTGTTCAGTTCCCTCTTCAGTCTTACATAAGGCCAAATATGATTTGAGGAGGGAAAAGCCAGCCTGTGGTGAATGGGCCAAATTATCAAAGTTTAAAGGAAATAAGAACTTTAAGCCATGTTATAGCAGACATAAAAGTTAAAAAAAAACAAACCCACAAAACAAGCACTGAGCAGGCCAATAATAGTACTGTTAGGGCAGGGCACCTATTAGGAACTTTGGTAGAAAAAAAAAAGAACAGACGCTTGTGAAATAAGACAGGAAAGCAGAAATTATTTAGGAAAAGAGTAGAGGAGGCATGGGCAGTGGAAAGATATAGTGGGAAAAGTTTCTGAAGGAGGCAATGATCCCCACCCAGGCTCTGCACATTAAGCCACAATTTAATCTAATTAAAGATGGTCTTGCTTATCTCTCTATATAAAACTCTAATATGCAAGTAGACCGAACAACTGTGCGCTGACCACTAGGGGGCGTACATGAAACGTGGCGGGCATCGGCCACAGTGGGATAGTGGAGCAGGTGAGTGGGGGCACCAGACTAAGGCGGGGTGCCAGCTGCTGTCATCTGGGCCAGCCTCTGGTGGTTACTGAAAATTCTTTGCTCCCTGAAGCCAGGGTCCCGCCCAGCGCTTGCACCTGCTGCCGGCACCCGGCACCGGCCCTGATCACTTGGTGCTGTCAGCAGTGCGAGTGACGGCTGCCAGCCCCAATTGCCCCTCAGGGCTTCTCCACCTCCCCCTGTCCCTGAGGGGCGATAGGAGTTGGCAGCTGCCTCTCCCACCCGCTTCTCGCACCCGCTTCTCACACCCGCTGCTGGCACCGGCCCTAATAGCTAAACGCTGTCAGTGGGTGTGAGCGGGACTGGCGCTGTCAGCACATGGGAGCAGTGGCGGTGGGAGCGGGGCTGCTGGCAGACAGGGAACCAGGGGCCGTGGCGGGAGGGGCTGGATGGGGGCGCAGAGAATGGGCCAAGACCCACCCCTATGCCCACCGCAGCCTCTTGGCCCACAGTTCCTTTTCAAGGTGCACGAGTTCGTGCACTGAGCCCCTAGTTTGTCATAATTGGACAAATGAGCAAAATCAAGACAAGGGGACTTATTAGATGGTTAGATGTCTGCTATGAAAATAAAAGTGGTTTCTAATGTAGGCAGCTTCTTCTTCAAAACTCAATAGAGCCCTGGCTCAGTTGGTTAGAGTGTTGTCCCAATATGCCAAGGTTGCAGGTCCGACCTCTAATCAAGAATCAACCAATGAATGCATAAATAAATGGAAAAAATTGATATCTCTCTCTCTCTCTCTCAAATCAATAAATAAAATTTTTTTAAAAATCTAAAAAAACCAACACCTCAATAGAAAATCCTCAAATAAAAAAAGAATAGTGGTGCTTCCAATCAATTTGGCAGTGTAGGTAAATGTGGCACACACATCCAACTACTTGAAATCTAGCTGGACAGAAGTCCTATGTTCTTTATAAGGATATAAAGAAGAAGCCATGTGGACTGGTGGGAGGGATGGAGACTCCAAACAATCTGGTCCCGCACCCATGTGTCGGATGAAAATCAGAGATATTTCTGTTGCTTAGGGCCTCCCAGAGGAACAAGGGGTCCCATCCCCATACTAGGCCCCCCAGCCCAGGGATCCAGTGCTAGGAAGAATAGTCCCCATAACTTCTGGCTATAAAAACCAGCAAGGATTGTGGCTGAGTGAGACAGAGGATTCTGGAGTCCCAGGCAGTTCCTCTTAAAGGGCCCACGCACGGACTTACTCGGACTCACCCGCACTGAGCTCCAGCACTGGGGCAGCATCATGAAAGGTGCCTAGGACATACAGGGAGGCACTGAATTCTCTGTATTCATGGTGAGAGCTGGAGGGGCAGCTTTCCCCCAGACATAAGTGCTGGCAGAGGCCACTGTGCCTTTGCTGAGCCCTTTCTCCACACAAAGTGGGCAGGTGGGAGCATATCTGAGTCTCCATCAACCTGGTTGTTCACCCAACTTAATAATTCCCTGAGATGCTGCCCCATCCAACTTGCTATTTCCAGTGACTTTTACATACAAATGGCCTGGTTGGGATCATAAAGCAAACTTAGCAAAATGGCTCAAAGGTTCACAAATTCCAAACAAGCAGTCTCTAGTTTCAGCATGCTTAGCTCTAGCTAAGTGGCTCCAGGTCCGACACAAGCAGCAGTTCCTAGTTTAGCCTATCCCAAGCACCTTCAAGCTCAGCACAAATAGTAGCCATCTGCAAATCACTTTGTAGCTCCTGCCAGGTGACCCCAGGCAGGGCACAGGCAACAGCTAACCTTAGCCTGCACCTCCTGGAAGGGCCCAAAACCAACACACCCAGTGGACAGCTTCAGACCACACTGAGCACCACCGAACCACCTCCATGAGCTACACACTCAAGGGGCAAAGTCATTGAGGGCCAGATCCCTGCTGAAGCAATTCCTGCAACATGAGGTGGGCCCCTGCATAGCAGCTCCTCCACTATAACCATAGCCATTCCTTGCAGTCAATAGGCCTGGGCATAAATCTTAACTAGTGATGTGTCAACAGCAATCAAGGCTCAACTGCAACAGAAGGATGCACATAGCCCACAAGGGGGTAGGGGGCACGGGAAGTGCACAGCTTGAGTTACTAGAGAGACCAAGCCACTGGGCCCTACAAGACACCTACTACATAGAGTCACTCTACCAGGACCAGGAGATGTAGCAGCTCTACCTAATACAGAAATACATATACAGGGAGAGAGCCAAAATGAGGAGACAAAGAAATAGGTCCCAAATAAAAGAACAGAACAAAACTCTAGTAAAAAACTAAACAAAATGGAGACAAGCAATCTACCAGATACAGAGTTCAAAACACTGGTTATAAAGGACTTGTATGCATGCATATGAACATAACCAATGGACACAGATGGGGTTGGATTGGGGGTGAGGGCATGTGCTGGGGGATGGAGGTGGCCGGGGAGAGGTCAATGGGAGAAAAAGGAGACTTATGTAATACATTAAACAATAAAGAATTTAAATTAAAAAAAAGCAACACTGGTTATAAGGATGCTCAGTGAACTTAGTGAGAACTTCAACAAAGAGATAGAAAACATAAAAATGGATATAGAAAAATAAAAAAGAACCAGTCAGAAATGAAGGCTACACTAACTAAAATGAAGAATACATTACAGGATACGTGATGCAGAAGATCAAATCAGAGATTTGGAAGATAAGGAAGCAGAAAATTAGAATGCAAAAAGAAAAAATAATCCAGAAAAATGAGGATAGTTTAAGGAGAGGCAACTTCAAGCATACTAACATTTGCATGCATCATGGGGGTACCAGAAGGAGGAGAGGAAGGAATTGAAAAGGTATTTGAAAAAATGACAAAAAATTTTTCTAGCTTGGTGAATAAATAGACACACAAGTCCAGGAAGCAGAGTGTCCCAAGCAAGATGAACCAAAAGAACCCCACACCAAGATACATCATAATTAAAATGCCAAATGTTAAAGACAGAGAAAACCTTAAAAGCAGCAGGAAAAAAGCAGTTAGTTTATCCACCAGAAAGCTCCCATAAGACTGTCAGCTGATTTCTCAACAGAAACTTTGCAGACCAGAAGGGATTGACCTAAAATATTCAAAGTCATAAAAAGCAAAGACCTACAAGCAACATTACACTACTCAGCAAGTTATCGTTAAGAAAGGAGAGTCCCAGCCAGTTTGGCTCAGTGGATAGAGCGCCGGCCTGCAGACTGAAGGTTCCAGGTTCGATTCCAGTCAAGGGCACATGCCTGGGTTGCGGGCTCAATCCCCAGTAGGGGCTGTGCAGGAGGCAGCCGATCAATGGTTCTCTCTCATCACTGATGTTTCTATATCTCTCTCCCTTCCTTTCTGATATCAATAAAAATATATTTAAAAAAAAAAAGAACTGAAGGAGAAATAAAAAGTTTTCCAGACAAGATAAAGCTAAAGTAGTTCATTACCACCAAATCAGTATTATGGCAATAAATATATATCTATCAGCAAATACTTTAAATTCAAATTGATCAAATGTTCCAATCAAAGAAGATATGGAGGCTGAGTGGATAACAAAACGAGATCCCTACATAGGCTGTCTATAAGATATTTATTTCAGATTAAAAGACACACACACACTGAAAGGAAATGGATGGAAAAAGATATTTCATAAAAATAAGAAAAAAAATCTGGGGTAGCAATATTTATATGAATAAAAATACTTAAAAACAAAGGCTATAACAAGAGACTACAAAGGACCCAGCAATTCCACTTCTAGATATTTATTGGAAGACATCCAAAACACTAAATCAAAAAGATATATACATCCATATATTCACTGTAGCATTATTTACAATAGCCACGATATGAAGCAACCTAAGTATCCATCGATAGATGAATGGATAAAGAAGTGGTGTATACGAACAATGGAATATGACTTAGTTATTTATAAAAAAGAATGAAATCTTGCCATCTGCAACAACATGGCTCAACATAGAGGGTATTGTGCTGAGTGAAGTAAGTCAGACAGAGAAAGACAAATGTCGTATAATTTCACTTAGATGGGGAATCTAAAAAAATAAACAAACAAACAAGTCGACCAGAAACAGACTCATAAATACAGAAAACATTTTGAAAGTTGTCAGATAAAGGGGTTTAGGGTTGTGGGTTGGGGGGAAAAGGTGAAGGAATTAAGAAGTACAAATTGGTAGTTACAGAATAGTCACGGGGATGTAATGTACGGCCTAAGAAATATAGTCAATAATATTGTAATAACTATGTACAGTGTCAGATGGATACTAGAATTATCAAGGTGATCACTTGTAAGGCATATAAACATCTAATCACTAGTTGTACACTTGAAGCTAATATAATATTGTACATCAACTGTAATTAAAAAATAAAAATTATATATATAAAAAAGAAGAAATAGCAGGATAGGTTACCTGTCATAAGGAGTATATCCATTTTGTTGTAGGAAATCATCTTTGATAAGTTTGGCTACCTCCAGAGTGATTTTATCTGTTTCTGCTAGAGAAGCCTAGAAGAGAAAAAATATATAATTTTAGAAATTTACTTCCATAATGTGGGACCATGGTTGTAATCAATGAGCAAGCAGAAATGATCTGATCACACACAATCATTACCATTTATAAATTCACTTCATAACTTTTTTATTGATGTTCTCTTTTATTGTGGTACAAAACATAATGCAAAATTTATCATCTTCACTATTTTTTAAGTGTTGTTCAGTAGTGTACAATATATTCACACTATTGTGAAACAGATTTTCAAACATTTTTTAAAATATATTTTTGTTGATTTCAGAGAGGAAGGAAGAGTGAGAGATAGAAACATCAATGATGAGAGAGAATCATTGATCGGCTGCCTCCTGCACGCCCCTAACTGGGGATCAAGCTCGAAACCTGGGCATGTGCCCTTGACTGGAATCAAACCCGGGACCCTTCAGTCCACTGAACCAAACTAGCTAGGGCAGATTTTCATAACTTCATTTTACAAATCTGAAACTCTATATCCATTAGAGTTTACATAACTCTATTTTCCTCCTACTCCCCCCGCCACCCCCTCAGTCTCTGGTAAACACCATTCTACTTTCTTTTTTCTACAAATTTCACTACTTTAGATACCTTATATAAGTGGAATCATAGAGTATTTGTATTTTTGTGACAAATCCTTGCGGATAAAAAAGGGGGTATGTACATGTTCAGTGATCGAAAGTAACCTCACAGGGTGATCTGATAATAGATTTCTTTCTTTCCTTTTTTTTATATAACCACACATCAGATCCTTGAACTTATTTTTTTATAGAGAGAAGGCCGAATTTATTTTTAAAAATGTATACAAGGACAATGAAAGTTGAAAGATAGTGAAACATTTTAAATGAGCTTAAAAATGCAGAAACAATTAAAAATTTACATTGGAAGTAATAAGGAACAGTCTTGATATTGGATAAAATTCAACCAGTGATATGTAGATAACTTTTTTTCAAAATCCAACAACTTTTATTGTTTAAAGTATTACATGTCTCCTTTTTTACCCTGATTAACCTCCCCTGAACTTTTTCTTTTTTTAAAAAAAATACATTTTTATAGATTTCAGAAAGAAAGGAAGAGAGAGAAAGAGAGAGAGAGAGATCAATGATTAGAGACAATCATTGATTGGCTGCTACCTACACGCCCCTACAGGGATGGAGCCTGCAACCTGGGCATGTGCCCTGACCAGAATCACACTGTGACCTCCTGGTTCATAGGTTGACGCTCAATCACCAAGCCACACTGGCCAGGCAAGATTCCTAACTAGGAAGGTCATGGTGGGTCAAATGCAATCTTTCTTAGTCATAGTGCTCCTGAAAAAATGTATTTTAATAGATCCTACTTCTACCCCCTCTAATTCGGTTGGTGACAGGTACAGTCTATTTCAAGAAATAAAAGTAAATCAAGCCTTGGCTGGGTAACTCAGATGCTTGGAGCGTCATCCCATATACCAAAAGGTCAGGGCACGGACCTAGGTTGCGGGTTCAGGTTGGGTTGCAACCAACTGATGTTTCTTCTTTCCCTCTCTCTCCTCCTCCTCCATATATAATCAATAAACATCTCCTCGGGTAAAGAATTAAAAAAAAAAGTTTTTTCTCACCTACAATAAAACCAGGACCATGTTAAGTGCTATAAGTGACTGAAAAGAATATAAAGGCTCTAACAATTTAGTTACTTCTCTTAACTGACCACTCTGAAGTGAAAGCCCCTCCCCTTGCATGTGGGCAAGCTCTCTAAACTGCTTTGACCAAATTAATGACAGAAATCATACTAGTTTTGGGGCTCTGGCTTAAGAGGCTGGTGGCTTCTACTTTCTTTCTCTTTTAATACTCACTTTGAGAGCCCTGAACATGCTACATAGAGACAGAAATGCCCAGCCAACCCTTAACTATTCCAGCCATCCCAACCCCAGCACAAGACATGTGAAGGAAGAAACTTTCAAAAAACTCCAGCCTGAGCCATCATATGACCACAACTGTATGTGGATCCCAAGCAAGAACACCCAACGGAGGCCATCAAACCCAAAACCATGAGTAATAAAACACTTTAAGTCACTAAGTGTGAGAGTGATTTGCTACTCATCAATAGAAAAATCAAAGCAATAATCACTATTTTACCTTTCACAACACAAGTAGGTCTCTCAAATATCTGCCAAAATAAAGAAATAATCTATAAATGCTATTAGTTTAAAAATATTTCGTAAGTACTCATTTTGCTAAGCAGAATCTGCATATCCAACGTTCTAGCTGTACTTACAACACTCCAGTGGGATTTTTAAAAAAATATATTTTATTGATTTTTTACAGAGAGGAAGGGAGAGGGATAGAGAGTTAGAAACGTCAATGAGAGAGAAACATCGATCGGCTGCCTCCTGCACACTCCTTACTGGGGATGTGCCCGCAACCAAGGTACATGCCCTTGACCGGAATCGAACCTGGGACCCTTCAGTCTGCAGGCCGACGCTCTATCCTCTGAGCCAAACCGGTCAGGGCTCCAGTGGGATTTTATAACTCACCTTTCCCACAAGCTGTACAATTTCTGCTAGATCTTCTTCTTCCTGCAGGATCTCCTTAGCTTTGGTCCTCAGAGGAACAAACTCTGTAAAGTGCTTGTCATAGTACTCATCCAAGGCACGCATATACTTGCTGTAGCTGATTAGCCAGTTGACAGAGGGGAAATGCTTACGTTGAGCTAGTTTCTTATCTAAGCCCCAGAACACCTGATTGAAAAACAAAACAAGCAAACTTTCAATCATTTTAAGAATAATTTGTCTTAAAAAATAAAAGTTTTAAAAAAACGTATTGAGGTATATTTTGTTTTAATATGTAATTGCATATATTTTGGGGGGCAAATAATGTATATTTTTAGTTTAAGTATAATTGAAATAGAATAAAACTTGCAATTAAAAAATATACTCCTTTCAATTCAGGATGCATAGTACATATAAATCAAAATTTATCTGAATTTCCTTAATAGTGTATCAAATCAAGTAGCAAAAAGAAAAATTTATTGTTTTGAAGATTATTATGGTGCAATATAAACAGATGAACCAGAAAATGCCCATTGAGATAGAATACACACTCCCTTTGATTAAAAAAATCTCTAAATGTTCTGGTTAAATTTAGTTCCCTATCATGAAGGGCCAATCCAGTAAGACCTAACAGTTATTTTTCTGAGGCCAAACATTCATGTGTATTTTATACATCCCTAACTTGCTCCCCCTTTCCCTACAATTTAAAACTCAATTTTTTAGCAAAAGTTAAGGTCTTTGAGAGTTGTAAATTTAGCCTCTGCCATTTCCTTTAATATAATATTGACAAAAACATAAGCAAATATTTTATTTTTCCCACATGAATAATACATATACTTATGAGTACATCAACTTTTTTCCCCCACCACAGCCCTATTTGTACACATCTTTCATTTAGGCTTCTTTTAATGGCTAAGTTGGCTAGCTATCCACTAACATTTAAGCCTTGTCATTGGGAAGCATCTGCCTAGGCAAAAACTACATTTTTCCAGCTTTGCTTTTGTCTGGTTTGGCTAGCAGAATGAATGGAGTACCTGGTCTGAGGCAAAGGTTCAGAAAATAGGTGTGCCTTCTCTCGGTTCCCTTTGTGCTGGCCAGATGCAGACAATTATCAGGCTAGGAGATAGTAGAGCCACAGGATGGAAGGAGCCCTGAATTACTACCAAGAGGGGAAAAAAACTGCCACTGAGTTTTTACCATTACACATTTTGGGGCTCATTTGTTTCCACATCTAAAGTTATTCTAACTCGCCCTGGTCAGTGTGGCTCATTTGGCTGGAGTGTCGCCATGTACACCAAAGGTGTCAGGTTTGATTCCCAGTCAGGGCAACCAATTAATGCTTATCTCTCACATCGATGTTTCTCTCTCCCTACCCCTCTCTAAAGTCAATTAAAAAATAAAGTTGCTTTAAAATACTTTAAAATTACTCTAACTTAAAGGTTAGTATTACTCTAACGCTAATAAAACTTTGCTACCTCGGATACATTTCCCACTTATAGATATTATTTATTATAAACCCCAGGTAAAGAGCTAAGAAGGAACAGACAGCATTGAGGCTTTCAGTGATAAGAATGTTCATAAAACACTAAAACAGACTTGACCATCACCTACTCTTTAGTGACTATATTAAATACTTCATGATGATTTGGGTAACATTAGAACACCCCATGGAGGTAGAGGGTGGTGCCAAGCTCGGAAGTTAACTATACTAGAAAAGATATACCTGAACAATACCAAGAGTAGCAGATGTAACTGGGTCAGAAAAATCACCACCAGGTGGAGAAACTCTAAATTTAAAAGAAAAAATATAGTCATTAGGGATGCTTATGAAAAATAACTTGTATATGAAAGTCAATTTTAATGTAAATGGCTTTTTAATATAAATAACTTTAGTAATGACCTTTGGAAAGAAAATTTTACATAAAAATCTTAAATAGAAACCAGAACAAATAAGAATCATTAAATACCTGCTAGTATGAGAAATGAGACAGATATTTATTACAAGCAGTTTCATTATTCTAATCACACAGATGAAGCAGGAAGGAAAGACAAGCTCTGAGAACAAAGTGTGCTTTAAATAGTGATCGTGAATCTGCACTTGGTTTTTATCATAATACTAGTGGCCCGGTGCACGATTCGTGCACATTGAAAGGAAATTAATTGGGAGAAAATTCATGTGGTGATTACGTTACTGAAAAAACTTACATGTTAAAATAGTATATAGAATATAGTATCATAAAATTAAAACACACGTGTGATTGATGCCAGTGAGAGCTTTATATGTATTGCACATGCGGGAGTCAACGTTTATTTTTAAATTGCCAGTGCGCATCATATGTACCAGACAGCCAGTTGGTTGGATGGTCAATGAATAAATTGCACTGTGGTTCACGTTGAATGTCAACAAAAACAACCAAATTCACAATCGACAATGACAGATCAAAACACGTGTGTGATTGGCGCCAGTGAGAGCTTTACATGTATCGCGCACATGCAAGTCAACATTTATTTTTAAATTGCCAGTGCGTGTCATATGTACCAGCCGGTTGTCGGTCGGACGGTCGGTCACTTAGCCTTTTATATATATAATCTTACCTTAACATGTCTATAATTTTCTAAGTTGTTCCTAGGATATTGTGACTTAAATGTAATAATCAGCCAAGTCACATCTGTGGAACCAGAACATAAAGAAATGACCTAGAGAGCTCGTTGGATGACTTTGATGTGCAACCTTGGTAAGAATCACTGCTCCCAGAGTGGCTAAGTATTTTCTCTTCAAAATAAATGACCCTATTAAAATAAATAAATAATAAATGACCCTTTTTCTCCTTTGAAAAGTAAATAGTTTAGGTACTTACGCTCCTACAATGCTGACACTCCCTTCTCTTTCAGGATTTCCAAGACATTTCACCCTGCCTGCTCGCTCATAGAAAGAGGCCAGACGGGCACCAAGATATGCAGGATATCCACTATCTGAAAAATGAAAAAACAATTTTAAAAGAGAGGTACTAGGGCAGTCCCCAAAAACCTATCAGTTTTTCTTACATAATAAGTGATACACAGACTTACCTGCAGGCATTTCAGCTAAGCGGCCAGAGATTTCTCTTAGGGCCTCAGCCCATCTAGAGGTGGAGTCAGCCATCATACTGACGTTGTAGCCCATGTCACGGAAATATTCTGACAATGTAATTCCTAAATTGGGAAGAATACTATACGTTATAATGCTATAATGTATAATCCTGACTTTTCACCCTTGAGAAAACTTTAAAGCAAGAAGTACATGAGCCAATCTGCTGTTTCACCAAAATCTATTCTTCTTCTTTTGGACACACAGATGAATTATATTTCCTATAACCTCCTTTGCATTTAAATATGGCCATGTAAACTGACTTGTAGCTAATCAAAGTAATGTGTTTCACTGCCAGGCAAGCCACATCTTCCTTCTGGCTTACTGAGAGGGAGCGAGCTCCCAGGAGCTCTGGAGGGCCTACGCTGAAATGAAAGAGTTCTTTTCAGTCTGGGTCCCAGCCCAGAATGACAGAGTAAAGAGTCCCCTAACCACCTTAAATAAATATCTATTATTATTGAGTAATTGTATTAAGGTGTATTTGTTGCCACAGCCTAGTCTACCTTAATATGATATACATTCTAACGGGTTGAAAAAGGCTTTTTCTCTCTTCTTTTCCCTATTAATATAATTAAGTTTGAAGTTAATTTCCAATATAGTTTTTGCCTATGTGTCACATATATACACACCAAAAAACCCTCAAACAATTAGCTTGTTTGGTTATTTTTCAAAAGTAGCATATATTATTAACATGAGTAATATCTTAATTATCCAGATCATTCTGCTATGCAGATCAAGTCCTGTCCTCTAAAATCATACATATAGTAAACCCCTTTGAAGAAGGTAATCTATAGGAAGAAGTGCTGGATTCTAGTTTCTATTCTGTCATTGACCTTAGCTAAGTAACTTCATTCCCAGTGTGGTTTCCTAATATGTTAAAATAATAAAGCTCTTGCCCTATCTACCTATATGCATGAGATTAAATGACACATATAAATGCCCTCTAAGAAGTACAAAGAACTATGCAACTCTAAGCTATTAGAAATTTATAGTTGTTGCTACATTATAAGACTCTCAAAATCTATGGCTCCAGTTCCTTTATTTTACTAGTAAAGAAACAGAGGCTTATAGTAGGTAAAACAAAATAGTTGTTGGAAAATTCAGCACTTAACTATTTTTCATAGTACTTATTTCAGAATAAAAAGTACTGATTTCTGAGGCTTCTAAAAAATGGTTCCATGAACAAAGTCTTTAAGAAATATTACTTATCATTATTAAGGGTTAAAAAACACAATAATTATTTCATGTTTCAATCTGATGATAGGACCAGATCCGCTTTTATACAAGCACGGCTATGTTTTTAAGTTTCCCTGATGACATTCCTAACAATTGTGTGTATATATTGGAAAGACTTGGTAGAAGAGACATATACACAAGTAAGCCTCAAAGAAGTTTCACAGACTTAAAGATTGGTGCCTACAAGAGGGGAAAAAACAAAACCCTCAGACAAAACTAAAATATGAACAAACTGGGAAAACATTTGCAACTCACGACAGATAAAAGACTAATTTCAAAGAGCTTTTACAAATCAGTAGGAAAAACAACTACTATCCAAAACTGAGTTCCTTGGACCCAATTATAGCAGTTTTCAAATGATTAATATACATAGGAAAGACGATATATAGCTCAGTTAAGAAAAACAGACTAAATAGGCATCTAATAAAGCAAGAATTGTAATATGTTAATTGATAATTCTAGGTGCTGGGTGTATGGGTGTTCATTGTAACATTCTTTCAACTTTTCTTTATGTTTATTAACTACTAGAGGCCTGGTGCACGAAATTCGTGCATGGGTAGGGTCCCTAGGCCTGGCTGGCGATTAGGGCCAATCTGTGGGGTGACTGGCGATCGGGGGGAGGGGAGTGGGGGCCCGCTGGCACCCACCTTGACCAGCCTGCCGCCACCAGCTTGCTGGCCTCGCTCCCCGCTGCTGGTCACCTCCCTCTGAGGGGCAACCGGCAGGGCAATCAGAGGGGCCCCCACTGGCACCCGCCTTAGCTGGCCTGAGGCCTGCATGCTGGGGGCAGCTCCTGCGTTGAGCATCTGCCCCCTGGTGGTCAGTGCACATCATAGCGACCGGTCATTCCACTGGTCATTCCGCTGTTAGGTCAATTTGAACATTAGGCTTTTATTATATGGGACTAGAGGCCCAGTGAACACAATTCATGCATGGAGGGGGGGTGTCCCTCAGTCCAGCCTCCAATATGGGACCCCTCGGGGGATGTCTGACTGCCGGTTTAGGCCCGATTCCACAGTCAGACATCCCTCTCACAATCCAGGAATGCTGGCTCCTAACCACTCGCCTGCCTGCCTGATATTCTTATTTCTCATATCCAGGAGTCAAAATATAATAACTCAAAGCTGATGATTCATGTTATAGAGACACAGGTTTATTCAGAGATAGATTGATGGTCAAAAGTGTAAGGAAAAAAACATAGTAATAGAAGATACATCATTTTATAGTCATTAAAAAGATTGGGGCAGCCAAAACCGGTTTGGCTCAGTGGATATTCTCAAGATATAAGTAAAATATTTTTTAAAAACTAGGGATATGGTTATATAAACAGAGGTATTTTAGAATGAAAGAAAAGTTCTTTGGAAAAGAAAGAGTTTGGAGTTAGCTCTAAACTGAAGAATAAATGTTAACTGCTTTTATTCCAATTCATATACTCACCAGTATAAATAGAGGCTTCCCTGGCAGCCACAGGCATGTTGGAGGTATTGGCTACCAAAGCTGTCCTCTTCATAATTGACTCTACCTTACCATCAACTTCCATTGTGAGCTAGAGGCAAACAATCTATTAGTGATCTTCTATTTTCTAAATAGAACATTTTAGTCTCTTTTTTACAAACTGTCTATATTTAACTTCTCTTCTAATCAGTGTTGCCAAAATAATATTCTCCATCACTCCAACTTCATCTCCCTGTCCCACTGTGCTGTAAAAATGACAGCCATTATTTCCATTTCCTAAGTGAAATCCATTATTTTATGGAAAAAGGAATATTATTACTACAGTTACCTAGAAAATCATATAAAGCCTATTGTCTATTTTATATTCTCCCAATAACTGAAAGCCACCAGACTTTCAAGTGTCTGGCTGAAACAAATTCCTTTCCTTAAATATATAAATTGAATCATGAGTCTAATTAGAAAATTCCTTAAAAGATCCTTGATAAATGAGAGTAATGCTCTAGATATAACACAAAGCTTTATTAATTGCCAGTGAAAGTTGATTAGTAGTATTTTCTCTAAAATATTATTTGAAACTCTATAGATACAGACCTCTGGGAAGTCGCGGAGGACTTCAGACATCTCATTTCCTCTTTCACCACATCCTACATAGATGATTACATCACTGTTGGAATACTTGGACAGAGACTGCGAAATCACTGTCTTTCCACAGCCAAAAGCCCCCGGGATTGCAGTAGTTCCTCCCTGCACACATCTAAACAAAGAAAACAAAGTATAAATTACTTCACTTGCTAATAAATGCCAGTAAATAAAATAGGTGTAAGTTAAAGAACTTTGAAATATTTTCATGTGTATCTATATGTATACACTTACAAAGAGCAATTATATAGGTACTAGAGGCATGAAATTCGTGCACAGGGGGAGGTGGGGGGGTATCCCTCAGTCCGGCCTGCACCCTCTCCAATCCAGGACCCCTGGCTCCTAACCTCTCGCCTGCCTGCCTGCCTGCCTGCCTGCCTGATCGCCCCTAACCACTCTGCTGACCAGCCCAATGCCCCTAACTACTCCCCTGCCGACCTGATTGCCCCAACCACCTCTGCCTGCCTGCCTGATTGCCCCTAACTGCTCCCCTGCTGACCTGATCGCCCCTAACCATCTCTGCCTGCCTGCCTGATCGCCCCTAACTGCTCTCCTGCTGGCCTGATCTCGCCCCTAACTGCTTGCTTCTCCACTGGACTGATCTTGCCCCTAACTGCTTGCTCCCCACCAGCGGCCTGATCTCACCCCTAACTGCTTGCTCCCCTGCACTGGCCTGATCTCGCCCCTAACTGCTTGCTCGCCTACACCAGCCTGATCTCGCCCCTAACTGTTTACTCCCTCATGCCAGCCTGATCTTGCCCCTAACCACTTGCTCCCCTGCCGGCCTGATCGTCCCTAACCGCCTCTGCCTCAGCCCCCGCCTCCGTGGCTTTGTCTGGAAGGACATCGGACGTCCGGAAGACATCCAGTCGATCCGGTCTAATTAGCATATTACCCTTTTATTAGTATAGATAATTGCTCTCCTAGTTAGTACCTATAATAGTATTGTTTGTTAATCACTGATCATCTCTATCAGCTTGAATAGCTGAAAAGTGAAAGTAGATTCCACAAGGTACCTTAGGAAAAGGGATACACACAAAAAAGGATAAATAAAATAGTATTAATGATATTCTGAATGCTCATTGAAATTAGTTCATGAAAGGACAACCTATGAATTAGAGCTACAATAAAAATATAAAAGACTTTTGAAAATTGTCTCTTGAGGTAAAAAGGAAGACCTTAAATTCACGACTTGCTGTGAATGAACAAAAACTTTCGATAAGGTATTCAGTCAACCCCTTTTATCCATTCAATAACTATTTACAAAGTACTTCCAGGACATTAAAAAATGTGCGTGGAGATGCTAGAAAGACAACAGAAAGTAAGATAGCAATGTTTGCCTTGGCCAGGTGGCTCAGTTGGATTTGAATTCCAAAGGTTGTGGGTTCGATTTCCGGTCAGGGCACATATCTAGGTTGCCAGTTCCATCCACGGTCAGGGCACGTTTCTCTCTCACACTGATGTTTCTCTTTCTTTCCCTCTCTTTCTCCCTCCCATTTTTCTCTCTCCTCCCCCTTCCCTCAAAAAATCAATAAAAAACATATCCTCGAGTGAGGATTAAAAAAAAAAAGATAGCCATGTTTCTGTATTCAGAGCACTCACATAACAGTGGGGTAAACTGCAGTCAGTTGATGATTGCAGTACTACTTAGCAGCCACTTCCACACTTTCCCTAAAATGTGGCAGTGGACAGTGAAATAATCTTAAGGGCAGAGGAAAGTGAATGTTGTGAGGGTGTGTGTGTGTGTGTGTGTGTGTGTGGTGGGAAGGTCTGGGCAGGAGAAATGAGATGTGACAATAAGGGAAATTTCTTTATAATATTGTGTTTTATCATGAAAATTCACTAAAACACTGCATCCTTAATAATAATTGACTTTTTTCAATATAAAACATGCATTAAAATCTTTTCTCCTCCAAATCTTTCAGTGACTGATAAATTCAGAAGGCATGCCCATTCATCCTATGGCTTTACATACCTCTTTCAAATCACTATTAACCTAGGGAGGGGAGGCAGGGCTGGGTGTGCCCCAGTTTGGAAGTTTAGCAATGCAACCCAATGTGAAAGTGCTATCATAGAAAACAACCAAGGTGTTGTGGGAATACATAGGAACTGGTGCACAGTCTAACACTGGATTGGAGTGGGGTTAGGAAAGTCTCCCTGAAAGTAGATAAGACTAGAAAGGAAAGAGAAATTAGTCAGATAAAGGGAAGTAACATTTTCAGCAGAGGGAACAGCATGGCCAAGATCCAAGAGGGAGCACTGCTTGAGAAATTAACAGTCCTCAGTATGCCTAGAAGATGGTACAAAAGGAAGTAGCTAGGCAATTAAGTGCCTGAAACAATATTGAAAGGTAAGCAATGCCCAGATCATGGGTAGCTTTGTAAAGTGTTAAGGAGTGTGTATTTGTATTTGTTTTAAAAGCAATGAAGAGCACTGAAGGTTTTCAAGAAAGCAGTGAGGAACAGACATGTGTTTTAAATAGATCACTATCTAATAAGGACAACCACTTAGAAAGAAGGCAAGACTGGAGATAGCAAGTCTGATTAAATGTGATTATTGCAGGAATTAGGGTAAGAACCTTAATTAGGGTCATGAAGCAGGGAGGAAAGATACAGACAAAAAATATTTAGGGAAAAGAATAAAAGCACTTGTTCAATAATGAGATGTGGAAGGGTAAAAACGATCCTTGAGAGAAGTAACAGATTTTAGATTAGGCATTCACTGGGAGGATGGATGGATGATGACATTTGCTGAGAAAGGCAGCAAAGAAAAATGAGCAAGTTGTAAGGAAGGAAGTGGTGATTAAGATAATTGCTTTAGTTTTGAACATACTGACTTTGAGGCACCTGTAGGACATTGAAAAGGAGAGGTATAATCAGAAGTGTTTTATATATGAGTCTGGAATGCAGAAGAAATTTGGGATGAAGAAACAGATGTTGGAGACTATACCTGGTATATTCTAAATATGAATATTTAAGTGATGAGAGTGGATGAAGTTATCCTCAGAGGGTAAGATATATAATGATGAGAAAAAAGGCCCTAAAAGAGGGAAAACACTAAGAAATAGCAAAATTAAGAAGAATAAACCTGCAATGAAGAATTAGAACTTGTGGACAAAAGCTAACAGGAAGAACAAAGAAAGAAGATGTTTCAAAGAGGAAGGAGTAGAACGAAATAAAACGTATTTATTGAATTATTAAGTATGGGAGTGACTGACTATGTTAGTGAGAGTAGTTTCAGTTGAGTGGTGGATCCAAGGGCAGAGTAGTATGGCAAATTAGAGAGGGAAAGGTGGAAAGAACTATTCATTCTTTCCAGAGATGTGGCTGTGAAAATGAGGAGAACAGTGGAAGGTAGAAAGGGGAAAGTAAAGAATTTCTCTAGATAAAATGTATTATAGGATTAGCACATAAAATATTTATTTATAAAGAATATTTTCCTCTCAAAAAATAAACACTATGTGCTTTTTTTTAAAATATATTTCTTTATTGATTTCAGAGAGTAAGGGTAGAGAGAGAGATAGAAACATCAATGATGAGAGAGAATCATTGATTGGCTGCCTCCTGCACGCCCCCCACTGGGGATCAAGCCTGCAACCCAGGCATGTGCCCTTGGCCGGAATCGACCTGGGACCCTTCAATCCGCAGGCTGACGCTCTATCCACTGAGCCAAGCCGGCCAGGGCAACACTATGTGCTCTTATTACCTTTACCTAATAAGTATCTGGATATAACATACAGCACAGGCAATATGTCAATACTATAGTAACTTTGCATGATGGCAGATAGTTATTAGGCTTACTATGGTGATAATAACTCGGGGAAAACTGGGACACAACTCAAACTTACGGAAAAAGGGCATCAAGGATTCTCTGGCCAGTCAACAAAGGATGATTGGCAGGCAACTTCTCAGTGACAGGCCGAACTTGACGTACAGGCCATACCTGTACCATGCTGAACTTATCCTTTACACCTTCAAATTCCAGCTCCAAGACAACATCCTATAAAAATACATCAGGATTTGAAGCACAAATTTATAAACATCTATTCCTCTAAATCAGTGGTTCTCAACCTTCTGGCCCTTTAAATACAGTTCCTCATGTTGTGACCCAACCATAAAATTATTTTCGTGGCTACTTCATAACTGTAATGTTGCTACTGTTATGAATCGTAATGTAAATATCTGATATGCAGGATGGTCTTAGGCGACCCCTGGGAAAGGGTCGTTTGACCACCAAAGGGGTCACGACCCACAGATTGAGAACCACTGCTCTAAATCAAAGTAACCTCAGATTCTTCTTGGTGGTAGGAAGGTGTTTTGTAGGGAAGTGGGGAAGTAGATTTATACTTTTTATTGTAAATCTTTATATTCCGTTCTATTACTGTTTGGCCCTTATTACTGTTTTTGTGATTAAAAACAGCTTAGGGGTTTTTGAGAAAGAGATATCTCAAGTAATAGAGGAACAGTTAATTAAGTTATGAGGATATACATAGGGAGAAATCTGGAAGGATACAGGAGATACTCCTGGGACTGGGGGAGAGGAAAAATGAATGTTTTCATAAATTTCTATTTGTTGTTTTATTTACTTTATTATAATGCTCCTATAACTGCTTTAATGAAAAATACATCAATTAAATAACCCTAAAATATTTAATAAGGTTAAATATTTAAAAATATTTGCAAAAGCCAAAAAATAATTAGTAATACTCTAACATTTATGAACACTGACATGATTTCAACTATTCACAAACAATTCCAAAGTCCAAAGACCTATAAAATCTGTAATTCTGTTGATATATGAACCACTTTAGGGTGGTTCTTCCACATAAAAGTGAATGAGTCTCTAAGCTAGTGAGTTAAGGCTAGCTGATTGCCCAGAACTCCAATCTTAACTCTTGCTCTCTACATATTATACAACACAGACTTATTTTTGTGAAATAACTGGAAAATTATATTTTATCACATTTTATTAGGAAAAAATGATATGTTACACTTGTCTTCGCAATACTTATCTTCATACCCACAAAGATGATTAGGGATTTGATATGATATGACTATCAATAACATTAAAGGACTAAGTTTTAAATGGCTCACCCAAGAATTCATGTAATCCATTATGCAACTAATTATGTGAATACAGATTGACAATTAAAATCAAAGTCTCTTACAGGTCTAAAGAATCAGGGCTTTAAGTAATGTAGCATAAATTAACGAAGAAGGAAAATGTTATACTAGACTAGAGGCCCGGTGCACAGTGTTGTGCCCTCTAGCAATCCGGGACCCCTCAGGTAGGGTCCCTAGGCCTGGCTGGCGATCAGGGCCTATCAGGGCTTGCCTTCTCCTGGCTGCTGGCAGCTGACCCCACCCCTGCCACCACTTGCCATCTGTGAGGCGCTGACCTCCCTCCCCCACCACCTGTCACCTCCCTCTGCAGGTGACAGGCATGGGGTGCGATCAGTTGGCTGGCCTGGGCCTCCCTCTGTGGGGCGATTGCTGGCCAGCCCTGCACACCAGCCACAGCGTCGCTGGCCGGTGGGGCCTGGACCTCCCTCTGTGGGGCTCCGTCATTGATCACTGTGCAGAGGGAAGCCCCGCCCACCCGGCCTGGGCTCCACAATCGATTGCTGCACAAAGGGAGGCCCTGCCCACCTGCCACAGCGCCGCCAGCTGGGTAGCCTGGGCCCCCCGACCAATCACATCACACCAGCCTTGGCTGGCCTGGCGCCAGTGCGTGTCATAGCGTGGTTGTCCGGAAGGTCGTCCGGATGGTCGTTTTGCTCTTTGGTCGTTCAGTCAATGTGCATGTTATGCTTTTATTATTATAGATCAGTGATAGCGAACCTTTTGAGCTTGGCGTGTCAGCATTTTGAAAAATCCTAACTTAACTCTGGTGCCGTGTCACATATAGAAATTGTTTGATATTTGCAACCATAGTAAAACAAAGATGTATATTTTTGATATTTATTTTATATATTTAAATGCCATTTAACAAAGAAAAATCAACCAAAAAAATGAGTTCGCGTGTCACCTCTGACACGCATGTCATAGGTTCGCCATCACTGTTATAGATAGTTCTCTCTCAAAAAAGAAACACTATGGCCTGGCTGGCATGGTTCAGTGGTTGAGCGTCAACTATGTAACCAGGAGGTCATGATTCGGATCCCAGTCAGTGCATATACCTGGGTTGTGGTCTTGATCCCCAGTGCGGGGCAGGCAGGAGGCAGCCAATCAATGATTCTCTCTCATCATTGATGTTTCTTTCTCTCTCCCCCTCTCCCTAAAATCAATAAAAATATTAAGAAAAAAAAGAAAAAGAAACACTATGTTCTCTTATTCCCTTTACCTAATAAGCACCTGGATATAACATACAGCACAGGGAATATGTCAAGAATATAGTAACTTTGCTTGATGACAGATAATTACTAGGCTTACTATGGTGATCATATCGTAGGGTATATAAATGTCAAATGACTATGTTGTTTACCTGAACGTAATATAATATTGTATGGCAACTAGACTTTAACAAAAAAATTTTTTAGAAACTTGTTTTTGTATTCCCAAGCCCAAGTTGAAAAAAAAAGTTGAATAAAAAAATAATGATGGGAATTACTTAAAACCTACACATTAAATAACTCTATAACTATTTAGAGCACTAAAACTGGGCAACTAGCATATATAAGTAGGACTACTCTGTGAGATAAAGTTTATGTGATACTTACAGAGGTATCGTAATTTCCAGGTGGAGCAATGTAAGTTACAGTTCCTCTGCTTCGTGGAGGTAACATGATTTTGTGTTTGATGAGAGAATTTTCATTGACAATTCCATAAATATCTCCACCAGTGATGTGACTACCAACCTAGAGAACAAATGCATTTGTTGTTTAATGTTCAAATAAACATCAAGTAGACCGACCCTTGATATTCTTTAAATCATTTGCCTCGCTTATCAGTAAAACATATTAGTTCTATAATCCTAGTAGATTTAAAGAAAAATTTATACTATGCTTCTGTGGTCTATTTTTATTTGAATTAAGAGTACAAAATAATTCACTAAATATTCATTTCACAATCTGAAACCAACTTTAGAAATCTTGATTATAAAGACATACCCGTAGGTTTTTGCAAGGTGTAAAATCCCATTTGATATCTCTGCTAAGAGCAGACACATTTACTCCTCGAGGAATGTAGATACTTTGGGTCTGATTGCTGATGTCCGACAAAGGTCTTTGAATACCATCAAAAATGGCTCCCATAATGCCAGGACCAAGTTCTACAGAGAGGGGTTTACCAGTGCGGAGTACAGGATCTCCAACAGACACACCAGCTAGAAACAGTAGTTGAGGAAAACTCACTAAGAAAGTTTAGAGATACTATAAAAAGGAAATACCAGTTTAATGGGAAATGATACTTAAGGAGCTAAAACAGAGATGGTCAACCTTTCTCAGTTTACAACATTCTTAGTGTTTTAGTAACATTTTCACAGTGACAAAACTTCTATCTAATAATTACATTTATTAAATAGCCATATCCAAACAACTATATGTATACACACACACACACACACACACACACACACACACACACATCTCCAAATAACCAAGTGGCACTTGGAAATATACATAAATAGAAAAAATATTATTTTAATTTCATTCTTAAATAAACTCAATTCTTAAAAATGGGATATATGTGCCTGTCAGGCATTTTACAATTTTCAAACCTTGGAATCAGACTGAATACCTGATCCATATTCAGCTGCACATAGTACTTGCTTTTTAGTTTAGCAATCACCAAAAACTCAGCTTCGTGAATATATGACATCATCAACAAGAATATAGTGCAGCCAAGTAACGAAACTGTTTATTATCTCAAGCTACTAGGTCACATGGTGTCTGACAAGATGTCTAATATTCTTGTTAACTTCAAAAATTTAAAACATCCTGGGAGTTGAAGTTGCCCAGAGTGCCTTGGTGCAGTTTGAGAAACCACAGAACTTAAAAACAGAAACAAAAGTTTCTCTTTAGTACATTATTTCAACTATAAAACTTAAGAACATCAGTCCCCTAAAAAGGATATTAGTTCCTAACAAAAAATTAAAATCTTAAGAATTAAGTGGTTTTAAAAAGGAAAAGAATAAAGCCTGAAAATAAGCACATTGAGTCCTGCTTGCTCTCATGTACTTGTTCATAGGCGTAAAAGCAGTACAACTTTTATTGACACCAATTTAGCAATATCAAAACTAAAATGCATAAATTTTGACCCAAAAATCTAACTTCTGTGAATTCATGCTATAGTTACATTGTATGTAATAAATGACTAGAAACAACTAAAATTTCTATCATTAAGATATTGATTAATATACCATATGAATTATATTCATATTCATATGGTGAATGCTATTTAGCTGTAAAAAAGGAATAGAAGCTTATATGAATTGCTCTAGAAAGATCTCCAAGATATAGTTTCATTTCTAATAATTGGTTATGAACATTTTTAAACCTATTACAAAGCTGAATTTTACAGTGAACTCCATCTGCTATTTCTACCGGCTAGATTCTACCATTAACACTTTACTTTATTTATCACATATCTATCTATCTTACACAATACATTTCTTTTTAAGTGAATATAATATGCTATCTTTTAGTAAAAAAAAAAGGAAGAAAAGTACATACTGATATTGGTTCATAAATGCAATTAAACTAGAAGGCTCTATAATAAGAAGAACTAATTAAAATGGCTGCATGCATGCGTGTGTGTTCTGAAAACTGGCCAGATACAGGATGACAAAAGTGGGGAGAATTGTCACCATATACATGTTCATTTGTTTATTTTAAATCTGCAAACCATGTAAAAGATTAAATAAAAGTTAACAGTAACAACAGAAAAAATTCTTTTGACTAGTCATGATTTCATAACCACAAAGATTTCTCATTTTATTTCAAATTTGCAGATGACTTTTTTTTAATTAGCACAGTACTCACACACACAGAAAAGATACTGGCAAGCATGTATTTTAGTATGACAAAAAAAAAAGTTGTTTCAAATAAATCTTAAATAGCTAAAGAATTAATGCTGATCCTGAGGACCAATCTAAGTAAAATACACAAATAAAGTGTCCCCCCACCCCCCCGCCAAAAAATAAAAATAAAAAAACTGGTTTCTCTTCACAAGGCTTAACTCTTTCTCTCTTTATTTTTTATAGAAAATTGAAAATAAATTCTATATTTAAAAGCCAAAATTATGGTAGCTAAACTAGCCAAATAGTAAATATTCCCCAGTACTAAAGCTGTAATTTAACACATCACCCAGCACTATTTATTAGAATAAAGATAGAATGGTGACCAGTTTACTATTATAAACAGAAATGATTGGAGACTTTTAATCATACAAATTGATGATGGCATTCTGTTTATGGTTTCTTCTACAATATGTCTCCCTCTAATTGATTCCCTCTAAAGTTTGTGAACTACTGAAATATTAAGAGTAATGAAAATTCAGAAGGTGATACTAATTTATTAAGAAGAGCACTAATTCCTAGTACCTTTCTTCAATATACTCCTGTATAAATCAGATTTCTAATACCAACATTTCATGCTTCTGATACCACTGGTTGTTCTGCTTCTACCTTTGCCATAAATCCTTAAAATACGACTTGTAGAATGTGGCAAAAAATTTAACCAAAAAGGCCCAACCAGCGTGGCTCAGTGGTTGAGTGTTGACCCATGAACCAGGAGGTCAGGGCATATGCAAGGGTTGCAGGCTTGATCCCCAGCGTGGGACGTGCAGGAGGCAGCCAATCAATGATTCTCTCTCACCATTGATGTTTCTATCTCTCTCTCCCTCTCCTTTCCTTTCTGAAATCAATAAAAATACATTTTTTTAAAAAAGAAATTGAATCAAAAAGGATACAAGTTTCTTCATACACCTGGATAGTAGCCATGTCACCTTCCAATCGGATAATCTCTCCAACCAACTCGCTGTGGCCCACTCTCACCAGCTCATACATGGCTGCACCTGACATTTCACAGGCTGTAACCACTGAAAAGAAAATATGCATATTTTGATGACTTAAGACTCTGAATAGTTATAGGTAATTAAAATATCCAGCAAATCCAATAAAACAGCTCTCTCATATATTCATAAGGAAAATAAAACATCCACTATGGAACATACATATAGTTTCACAGAAAGATTATCATTTTTAGCATATGATATAGCAGGAAACAAAATAAATTTGTTAGGCTAAAGATTATACATTTACAGAATATACTCATAATAATCCATAATAACCCATAATGTAAATAAGGGTTTTGATCAACCCAGGTTGCTATAATACATGAAAGAGTGGGTTTGGGAAAATGAAAATAAAAACTGCAAAAATGGAACAGAAACTTTAGCTAGTAGTGTGGTAGAATGCCATACAATTATCAGTTTGCTGTGTTGTCACCATTCCTTTGAAAGATAATATTGGAAACATCATCTTTACTCTCGAACACTTAATAACAGTGGTTCTTAAAACTTTTCTGGGACATGGACCTTTTTCATAAACTGATGATCGCGCTCTACCTAGAAAAATTTACATATGCATCTACAAAATAGACAATAGGGATGTTTATAATTAGTTACCACCACTGTGTGAGGTCCTGACTAAGAATCCCTATTTCTGCCTTGGCTGATGTGGCTCAGTTGGTTGAGCTTTGTCCCATCCACCAAAAAAAGGTCATTGGTTCAATTCCTGGTAAGGGCACATGCCCAGTAGAGGGTGTACAAGAAGCAGCCTATGATATTGCACTCTCTCTGATGCGCGAGCTCTCTCTCTCTTTTTCTCTCTCTCCCTTAAGTCAATGAAACATATATGTATATAAATAAAAAAGAACCCTGCCTGGCCAGCTTGGCTCAGTGGTTGAGCTTTGACCTATGAACCAGGAGGTCATCGTTCCATTCCCAGTCAGGGCACATGCCCAGGTGCAGGCTTGATTCCCAGTAGGGGGTGTGCAGGAGGCAGCTGATCAATGATTCTCTCTCATCATTGATGTTTCTATTTCTCTCTTTTCCTTCCTCTCTGAAATCAATAATAATAAAAGAATATACATATATATTAAAAAATCCCTGTTTTTTGTAAGTACTATAACAGAATTTGTGCTTACTATTTTGGACTATATATACTGTCTAGTAAGAAAAGATTACTTTTCTGGCAGGAAGGGAAGGTTGTACATTTTCATAGGCATAGAAATAAATCTATTTTTAATATTTAGCCTTCTGATAAAATTGATTAGAACTATGTATTAGGCAATATTCAAATAAAAACTATTAAAGTATTAAAATTTTACTGTATTAGAACAATGTAGATATATTAATTTCATAAAGATTTACCTCTATACCTACTATATACTAGTAAGAATTAAGATGCATTGAAATATCAGAGATAACTAAAATTTTAAATCTTATTTCATCAACCAAATGTATGCCATTTCTTTATCTTATTAAGTACTGAAGAATTAGAAATAGGTTCAAGAATTTACTACAAGTTTTAGAAAAATATTTTTGCCTAAACTCTTTTGATGGTGTTCTTTTGTCCTTTCCCTAAAAGTTCTTGTGTGTAGCCTTTCCTAAAAACTCTTTTGGTCATCAAGGGGAAACTATTTCTCTGAATGGCAACAGAGATTAAAAACAGTGAAATGCATTGTTTGCCAATTAATTAAAGCTCAAACAGCGATTTCTAAGTGATAGAAGCTTCCAGGGGAGAAATAAGAGGCATAGTGACTGACAGTCTTCATTTGCATAAAGACTGAGATATAAGAAAAAATGGATTTCCACTAAGTATTATAAATCAATGAACAGGTTTACTTCTGGAAACTGAATCAGGTTTTGCAGTAGGAGTGTGGAATAACAAAATGAATACTAGAATGAGATACAGCAGTACCCCAAGTTTTGACAAAATGAACATAAACTTTAAAACTGCTCTCCATTATCAGTGTCATGTCATGAGGCTTCTTTTCCACAGCTAGCCAGTTATGTGATTCTGAAATAGCCATTTAGAAGGTTTTATATATGTAAAGAGCTAAGGTTGATATTACTGAGAAATGCTCTGAAAACATTATTAAAGCTCAAACCAAATTAACATATTTATTGAATGCTTATAATTTGCAAGGTATCACATACTAAAAGCTATAGCTTTAACAAAAAATAGGTAATAATCTGAACAGTGATTATACATTTACATAATAAACATGATATTACAAATTAGTACCTCAATAATTATCAAATTTAGATAATGAATGCTAGATAAGCCCTTAGGATGGAGGTATTACCTCAGTCTCATCTTATATAATAAAAGCCTAATATGCTAGGTGTCGGGTCGACCGGTCGGACGTTCAACCAATCAAAGTGTAATGTGCTAGCCCTGACTGGTTTGGCTCAGTGGATAGAGCGTCGGCCTGCGGACTGAGGGGTCGCGAGTTTGATTCTGGTCAAGGACATGTACCTTGGTTGCAGGCACATCCCCAGTGGGAGGTGTGCAGGAGGTGTGCAGGAGGCGGCTGATCGATGTTTCTCTCTCATCGATGTTTCTACCTCTCTATCCCTCTCCCCTCCTCTCTGTAAAAAATCAATAAAATATATTAAAAAAACAAAACAAAAAAACACACAAAGTGTAATGTGCTAATGATATGCTAAGACCACTCAAACACTCGCTGTGATGTACACTGACCACCGGGGGGCAGACAGTCGACCAGCCAACCAGTTGCTATGACATGCACTGACCACCAGGGGACAGACGCTCCAACCAGTAGGTTAACTTGCTGCTGGGGTCCAGCCCATCAGGATTGAGCGAGATGGGCCAGACATCCCCTGGAGCCCTCCCTCGGTCCCTCCCCGGCTGGCCAACCTCCTGCGTCTCTCCCTGGCCCTGATCGTGCACTGGTGGGGTCCCTCGGCCTGGCCTGCGCCCTCTCGAAATCCAGAATCCCTCAGGGGATGTCAGAGAGCCAGTTTCAGCCCGATCCCGCAGGCCAGGCTGAGGGACCCCACTGATGCACGAATTCGTGCACCCGGCCTCTAGCAGCAGTTATAAAACCTTTTGAGGACAGAATTTATGTAGGTGAACAGAAACTTCTGTATTTCCATCTAAAACACCTTGAAAATACATTAATTGAAATTAGGAATCTTTACCATTGAGATTATTATGTATTACTTACCAGGTCCTGAGACCCCATGCACATAACCAAATGTGCTTTCTTTATCTTCATCACGTATTTTTGGTAGCTTGGAGAAATCCATTGTGTTAATTTACCTAAGGGGAAAAATTAAGTCATAATTACAAACCCTAATGCAAAAGAACCAATATAGGTAGTCAACACTCATTGATGGTGTATTTTGAGTTATTACCACTTCTTCAAAGTAAAATAAAAAATTCTTAAAATGTGATTAAAAGTACCTCATTCCTGGATGCTTCACAATTATTAAAATTCAGAATCATATATCCCCATGAAAACTGTCCCATAAAAAATACTGAGTAGCCCTAACTGGTTTGGCTCAATGGATAGAGCGTCGGCCTGTGGACTCAAGGGTCCCAGGTTCAATTCCGGTCAAAGGCATTTACCTTGGTTGCAGGCACATACCCAGTAGGGAGTGTGAAGGAGGCAGCTGATCGATGTTACTCTCTCATCGATGTTTCTAACTCTCTATCCCTCTCCCTTCCTCTCTGTAAGAAATCAATAAAATATATTTTAAAAAAATACTGAGTATAACAATGTGAAGTCTTCTCAATGGTTTATCCAGCCCTACATCTTGCCCTCTCCCCCATTATCTTTCTGACCATCTCTCCAATTACTTTTACCCTTAATCATTGTGCATATACAGGAGTGGGAAAAATTAGGTTTACAGTCGTAATAGTAAGTAATACAATAATGTACTCACAACTGTAAATCTACTTTTGCCCACCCCTATATACACTGAATTCCTTGCCATTTCTCAAAAACATATATGCTCTGCCTCAGGGTCTTTGTACATGTTGCTCCCTCTACCTAGAGTACTCTTCTTGCAGATATCTGCTCCTATACTTCCTTCAGGTCTTTACTCAACTGTCCCCTACTCCAAGAGGCTTCTCTGCCCATCTATTTAAATCACAACATAGCCCCCTCACTGCTTTATTTTTCATCATCTTATATCTTACATTTATTTTTATTTTTTAATCCTCCCTCGTGAAAGGGAAGGGGAGTGCTTGTTTTTTAGAGAGAGTGAAAGGGAAGGGGAGAGACAGAGAGAAACACTGATGTGAGACACATCAATTGGTTGCCTCCCACCGAGGTACGTGCCCTTGATCAGAATCAAACCCGGCACACTTCAGTCCACGGGATGATGCTCTATCCACTGAGCCAAACCAGCTAGGGCACATTTAATTTTTAAATGTATTATCCATCTTTAAAATTTTTCTGAAAGCACTTTTCTTTTTTTTAGCAGAACATAGAACAGTTTAAGTAACTCAGTTCAACCTCTTTTCTTTATGGATGTGCAAACTGAAAAACCTAAAGAATTAACTATTCAAGTCCAAATAGAAAACTGGTGGCAGATCCCAAAGCAGAAAGTTTATTTTTGACCACTGGTCTAAGTTAAAAATTATTGATGTTTAATAATGGAGATAAAATACATGTACATATAAAAAATAAGTAATAGTGTTAAATCATATAAGTTATCTACTAAAAGTTCAATAATTAGAATGTTTAGGGAGCACAGGTTGAAGGTCAGGTAAAATTTGGATAAAATAGAAAGAAAAAAAAAGGTAGCAAAGGCATTTCAGTTGGGGAAATAATAAAAACAAAAGAATAGAGAAATTTATAAGAAGTTAACAGACTACGAAGAAAGGTTATATTAGGACAACAGTGAGAAATAAAGATACAAAGGTAAAGACATTTCTTTGTGGGTCTTGAAATGAAATGCCAAGTAGACTTGATTCTACAAACAATCCTATATAATAAAGAGCTAATATACTAATTAAACCAGATGGCGGAACAACCTTCCAGAATGACCTTCCAGAACGACCAGTGGGCAGGGGGCAGGGCCGCGAGGCAGCTGGGGCTGCGAGGGCCAAGTTCCTTGCACGAATTTCGTGCATCAGGCCTCTAATAGGAAATAACCGAAAATGGAGTGAGAACTTTAATGGGGAAAATGATGTTCAGTTAATTTAACAGGTTAGATTGAAAAGCTCTAGAAATAGTTACGATTTGAGTATCAATTGAATTCAATTTATTAAATGTTTATTGAACTCCTACCAAGGAAAAGAAACTGTGTTAAACGTAGTGAATAAGGATTGTGAATAAAAGGAGCTTTCACTGGCTTTAAACAACTGTACATAAAAAGCACAATGACTTAAGTGTTCAAAACGACCACACAATGAAAGCCAAGAAGAAACTGATTTGAATGTGGGAGAAGTGTTAACCAATGTGAATGAAGTAGAGGGAACAGGTAGCTGAAAAGTAAGTTTTGAGGCTGGCTGAGTTGAGTCCAGATATAAAGAATACCAAAAGAGAGGAAGACCAAACCCTGAGCCTTGGGGGTTAATTCTGGCAGGATGGGAAAGTTTTTTTAGTCTTTCAAGAGCTATTGAAGGATCATCAGGAGAACCATATATTCCATGGAACACAATTTGTAATCCATTAGTCAAGATATCAAGGATTGGGGAAGGGAGTATAACAATGAAATCATTAACAGAGGAGTTATGGTTTGAAATACTGGTGCCATCAGAATGGAGATGGTGGACAGGGCTAGAATTGAGTGATTAAAGAAATAGGCAAGAGTGTAAACAAAAATTAAAACCATATGGAGATATGGGAGACATTAAAGTGAGTCAAATATGATCTAAGGAGCAGGAAAAGTGCCAAGAGCTTGAAGATGATATCAGTGATAAGATAGAGACAGACTAACATGAAGTTGGTAGTTTACTGATAAAGATGAAGGCAGGGTGAAAGTCATCAAAAATAATGGAACTGAATTAGAAAGAAAAAATAAACCAGACATCATAGTCACAAATACCACAATAAAAATCACAAGGATTTTGGGATTCTCAGTAGGAAAATTAGTTGGAGAAGGGCATTTGAGGAAGAAAGAAGGAAAAGGGGAAACTGGTTTACCAGGATTCTCAGCTTCCTAAAGACAGGGCTATTGATTAAGCATGTATGGGATTGCAGATACTGGAATACAAAGAGATGGAACAAGTTTTTCTAGAAACTACTTAGGCAATAGGGGGAAAACAAAGTTTAAAGACAAACACTTATTTGGGAAATGGGTTGGGCAAAGTTTTCAAAAAAGTAGTGAACGAGCAAATGAGGTCAAATTTTAAAATCAAAGATGTTCAAAGTCAGAAGGAAACTTGATAATCATATAGTCTAACTTCCTCCCCAAATATGGGTATTTCCTTCAGGGCATTCATGATACATAGTCATCTGTCTTTGAAGTGGAAATGGCACAAGATCTTGAGTCAACAGACTCAGGACTCAGGCGGATTCTGCCAGTGACATGCTATAAATCAAAATCTCTTATTATGTTCATTTGTAAAATAGGAATAATGCTATCATCCACCCCTATAATTTTTGGCTTGTTTTCTGTCTTAGTTATCTTGTAGTTATATTGTAAAATGGGAAAAGAAATACAAAAGTGGGTTTAAGAAGCAGGGCATTTAGAACAATGCTTGGGTTAAATCAAGCAACTGACATGGAGGTTAAGTCCCCATACAACCAAAGCCTTAGTTTCTACAGGGAATTTGCTCCTCATCCTTCAAATCTTAGAAGGAGCCCCATCATCAGTAGTTACAGAAAAAGAAGTCCCAACTCATAAGAGTTTATTTAACTTCTAAAGTACTGTATTCTTATAGAATTGGAAACTATGTTTTCCTAGGTCCAGAAGTTTTAGGCTCCAGCCTCTTAACAGTTAAACACTTAGAGAAACGCCCAAGGATTGGTCCTAAGTAACAGGCTCTCTGAACATTAAAATCTGCAATTCCCACAGCACTCAAATAAGGGTTCCCATTGTACTTCTAAAGCTTTTCCACCAAAATACCTCAATTGCAGGAAAACAAGTAAACACTGAAGTGAATAAATAACCTCCCCCCCCCTTCTTCTCCCCAGAATCTTGACTGAGAATAGTGTAACAGTCTTCTGTAAGCAGAGAAATTTCTTTGTATGCTCTTGTATATTTTTTCCAATAAGAAATGTAAATTTTATTAAGTACTAGCCTTTTCTGCTAATGCCAGTGTTTCAAAAGCATTCCACTGAACATGGACTAGCATTGCTTTTGGTATGTTTCATGCTCTCTACTTCATCTCATCCAATATCTGTTTTACAAGAAAAATATGAAAGTGCTTCCTCCCCACAAATAAAAATGATTCATATTATGTTGACTTCACCACTGAATTGGGCTAAGCATATAGCACATAACAGTGAAAACAAAAATACCCCACTAAAATCTTCTGCTTCACTTTTAAATGCTTATGTCTCTATGCTAGCAATTTTCAAACTTTTTCATCTCATGGCACACAAACACTACTAAAATTCTGTGGCACACCAAAAAATACATTATATCTTTATATACTTTTGATCTGACAAAAAATATAGGTACAATTTTGATTCATTCACCCTAGACACATGTGTGTTGGCTGTTGTCACTTTTATTATTTGACAATCTAAGGGAAAAGAGAGGTCAGTGCCCCAGACTAAATAGTCAGTTATGGTATGTTTTAAAAATTCTTGTGGTACACCAGTATATGAAAATTCTGACTATTAAGAAAGCAACTCCTAAAACATTTTAACTTGCAATGAGCAAATAGTGCAGGTTAGATAATATTGAAAGTTAATCTTATCCTAAATCTCCACAAGGTCCAAACTATCATGATATGATTTAATGCTAAAGTCATATATGCTATTTAATTATTGCTTCCCAATATAATACACAGCTATTCTTGTTGCTCTCAATCATTTTAAAAATAAAAGCATGACACCTACTTCAAAAACAGTCGCTTTCATGAAAACAGTGTGGTATACACAACTGCTCTCATAGATTACAACTCAATAATTACATAAAAATGTGCCTTACGCTGAATTCCTACTTTGATAAGAATTGTAATTTACAACTAAGATTCCTACAGTCAAAAATTGTAGGGTTCCTGCCCCATATTTGTGAAAGATTAAAAAAACAACCAAACCCTGCTTTAGAAGGGGAAAAATCCAGAAGGTATGCACAGGCAACTATCTGATCTAATGAGTCACCAGTCTCTCCCATACACACTGTAGAACACTGCAG